GCTTTCATTATTATTAGTAATTACAAAGAGCATATTATTTACTGTTGCCACTACTCTTCTACGTATTTGGCGTTTTTCTACATATGGTACTTTTTTTATAAACTAATTTTTGTTTCTTATAAGACATATTAATTTTAATTAAAGAAAACAAATATAATATTAAATGAAAATATAACAAAACCAAATTTTCACGTTTTTCTTTACATAGCATTAAAACTAAATTTAAAATATTTTTAAATTTAAATATTATTTCTTTGAATTGTATATCAACAAGCGCTTTGTTAGTTACAGTTATTATAAATGAAAACAATAATAAACCATTATTGATGATTCCTGTTATTTTGTAAACTTACTTTGGAACGCTGTGGTGCATGTTTTAACCATACTTTCAATATATCCTCTACACAACGGTCAGTTGCATCTGAATGACAGATATTCACAGCATCTTCAATAATATTGCAAAAAGTTAATAAAAATTATTTATAAAACTTGCAATGAAACTATTATGTAACAATAAAAATAAAGCAATAGACATTACTTACTTATAACTGCTGTTTTTAATAAATACTCAGAAAATGGTTCTTTGTTGTCGCGTTTCCCGAAAAAAGAGAATTTTTTGGCTAAATTATCAGTATATAAAAATTTCATAATCTTATTATTAAGTTATTATATAACTATCCGATTAAGTTAATTATAACTATTAGTTAAAGTAGTTATATTTTTACCGCCCAAACTTGCCAAATACAATGTCTGGAAAAAAATTTTGAATTAAGATCAAATTTTAAATAGTTTCAAAATGTAATAAGTTATGTAAAATGTTTAAAAAATATATAGTTTTTCTATAACAAAGTATTCAAGTTTTCATCTTCTCTTAAATAGGTCTCTAAAATTTTGACATGTTCCAAAGTATCTATAGGAAATTTTACCGGTATATCAGTTGGTAAAATACTTGGCACTTTATTTAATTCTTTTGTCTTTAGTAAAGCTAGTATTTGTGTATTTTGCTCTTTTATTTCAACCAACAAAATTAGTAATTGCTTCTGAAATGCTATTAATTTTATATTATTTTACTTTTATTTTTAATGAAAATTGTAAACATATAATTATTCATTATAATTATTTTTTAAATTTTAACTATAATTT